TAATACATTGCACATACACACTCACTTACTCACACATGTACACACACTCTCACATTCTTGTAGGCCCTCCCTACCTGAGAATATAGCTAAACTACACACACACACAAACAGCAAACATCGATATATAAAAAGACCTTCGCGCCAGCACCTTACTACCAATACACACAAAACATCCTTATACAAACACCTAACACCTACACACAAAACACCCCACTCAAATACCTAACACCTACACACTAAACATCCTTATACAAACACCTACCACCTACACACAAAACACCCTTATACAAACACATACCACTTACACACAAAACACCCCACTCAAACACCTAACACCTACACACAAAGCACCTCACACAAACACCTACCAACTAAACACAAAACACCCTTATACAAACACATACCAACTACACACAAAACATCCTTATACAAACACATACCAACTACACACAAAACATCCTTATACAAACACCTACCATATCTATACTCATACCAAAACACCATCTCACATAAAAACACATATTTACCAACACACCAACAATGCATTCCACACATGTACTCACCATCGCCTACACATACACACACACTCACAACAAAAACACTGTAGTCCTCTCATCTTTACCTGAGCAACAACTACATCAGCAACAACATCAGCAACAACATCAAAACCATCCATCTTATCATGAGCAACAAGTCCGATCCCAAAAGTCTCCCCAATACTTTACAAGCGCGGCTGTAGCTTCATCACACTCACACACCCCCCCTCTCCCCCCCCCCCTTACACACCAATGCCCCCAGAGCCACACTGCTAAAAGGGGCCGCAAGAATGCCAGAGATTCAGGTCACTATTTCTGGCATTAAAAAAAAACCTGTCTAAAAATGTTCTGTTAGTAAACAATTTTTTTTATTAGTGAGGTGGGGGGGGGGGGGGGTGTTGGAGGGAAGGGGAGGGTTAGAACACAGAAGTGTTAGAAAGGGATGGGAAGGGGGGGGGGGGGGGGTAATTTTAGTTACCTATAGTTAGTTACCTATAGTTACCTATAAGTTCTACAGCTCAATAAAACCTGCTTGAGCCATAGTACTGGTTGGCGACCTACTTAACAGCCCTATAGTTAGCTATAATGAGGGCGGATCTGGGATAGGCATAGGCGGGACTAGTTAAGGCACGTTAATTAACACGTTGAACATCTTCATTAGATGGTTGTTGCTGTGAGATTGTTTATGTGTTCCAAATATTCTCCAATCACCGATATCGAGAGCCTTGAAACTTTGACCTTTGCCTATAGCTGTGAAATAACCAAAACATGTTTACCTTCCTATAAGCGTGGGTTGAATGGTTTTATAATGTACAAGAGGCCATTTTGTTTCTTTATATATTTTATTTCAGACATGATTTTAATACAACACATCTTTAAGCCGACCAACATCACACACAATATTAAGCCTACTCACACTACACACTTCTTTTAGCCTAACCACACCACACACATCATTAAGCCTACCCACACACCACACACACCATTAAGCCTACCCACACACCACACACATCATTAAGCCTACCCATACCACACACATCATTAAGCCTACCCACCACACACATCATTAAGCTTACCCACACCACACACATCTTTAAGCCTACCCACACACATCATTAAGCCTACCCACACCACACACATCATTAAGCCTACCCACCACACACATCATTAAGCTTACCCACACCACACACATCATTAAGCCTACCCACACACCACACACACCATTAAGCCTACCCACACACCACACACACCATTAAGCCTACCCACACACCACACACATCATTAAGCCTACCCACACACCACACACATCATTAAGCCTACCCACACCACACACATCATTAAGCCTACCCACACACATCATTAAGCCTACCCACACACATCATTAAGCCTATCCACACCACACACATCATTAAGCCTACCCACACACATCATTAAGCCTACCCACACCACACACATCATTAAGCCTACCCACACACATCATTAAGCCTACCCACACCACACACATCATTAAGCCTACCCACACCACACACATCATTAAGCCTACCCACACACATCATTAAGCTTACCCACACCACACACATCATTAAGCCTACCCACACACATCATTAAGCCTACCCACACCACACACATCATTAAGCCTACCCACACACATCATTAAGCTTACCCACACCACACACATTATTAAGCCTACCCACACTACACACATCATTAAGCCTACCCACACCACACACATCATTAAGCCTACCCACACCACACACATCATTAAGCTTACCCACACACATCATTAAGCCTACCCACACCACACACATCATTAAGCCTACCCACACCACACACATCATTAAGCCTACCCACACACATCATTAAGCTTACCCACACCACACACATCATTAAGCCTACCCACACCACACACATCATTAAGCCTACCCACACCACACACATCATTAAGCTTACCCACACCACACACATCATTAAGCCTACCCACACCACACACATCATTAAGCCTACCCACACCACACACATCATTAAGCCTACCCACACACATCATTAAGCCTACCCACACCACACACATCATTAAGCCTACCCACACACATCATTAAGCTTACCCACACCACACACATCATTAAGCCTACCCACACTACACACATCATTAAGCCTACCCACACCACACACATCATTAAGCTTACCCACACACATCATTAAGCTTACCCACACCACACACATCATTAAGCCTACCCACACTACACACATCATTAAGCCTACCCACACACCACACACATCATTAAGCCTACCCACACCACACACATCATTAAGCCTACCCACACCACACACATCATTAAGCCTACCCACACCACACACATCATTAAGCCTACCCACACCACACACATCATTAAGCCTACCCACACCACACACATCATTAAGCCTACCCACACCACACACATCATTAAGCCTACCCACACACATCATTAAGCTTACCCACACCACACACATCATTAAGCCTACCCACACTACACACATCATTAAGCCTACACACACCACACACATCATTAAGCTTACCCACCACACACATCATTAAGCCTACCCACAAACCACACATCTTTAAGCCTACCCACACACATCATTAAGCCTACCCACACCACACACATCATTAAGCCTACCCACACCACACACATCATTAAGCTTACCCACACCACACACATCATTAAGCCTACCCACACACCACACACATCATTAAGCTTACCCACACCACACACATCATTAAGCTTACCCACACCACACACATCATTAAGCCTACCCACACACCACACACATCATTAAGCTTACCCACACACACCATTAAGCCTACCCACACACATCATTAAGCCTACCCACACCACACACATCATTAAGCCTACCCACACCACACACATCATTAAGCCTACCCACACACATCATTAAGCTTACCCACACCACACACATCATTAAGCTTACCCACACCACACACATCATTAAGCCTACCCACACCACACACATCATTAAGCCTACCCACACCAGACACATCATTAAGCCTACCCACACCACACACATCATTAAGCCTACCCACACCAGACACATCATTAAGCCTACCCACACACCACACACATCATTAAGCCTACCCACACACCACACACATCATTAAGCCTACCCACACAACACACATCATTAAGTCTACCCACACCACACACATCATTAAGCCTACCCACACACATCATTAAGCTTACCCACACCACACACATCATTAAGCCTACCCACACTACACACATCATTAAGCCTACCCACACCACACACATCATTAAGCCTACCCACACACCACACATCATTAAGCCTACCCACACTACACAGATAATCGATTACTACCTTCATTGATTACCTTCTGCATCCATAGATTCCCTCCATTGTATCAATTTTTAATCCTCCTAGCCTCACATTCCCAGCAACTTTCCTAATTAGCTGCCCCAATTTCATAATTCATTAATTAGCCATTGACGTCACAATTCTACCAAGGTCTACAAGAAGAGTGTTAAGTTTTAAGCCTAGAAGTTGACTTGCCCATTTCGTCCTTAGATTGTGTGTCTTCAACTCTGGTTCGATACTGCAAGTGCTAGTACTTGTATATATATATATATATATATATATATATATATATATATATATATATATATATATATATATATATATATATATATATAATCGTTTTGAGAATTAAGACATATTAATTGGGATTATTTTCTCAATCGACTTTTTAATATAGATCTTAAAAATCTTAGTTTACATAGTAAAAATGTAATTAATGTCCGGTGTGTGCATAATTCTACTTGTCCTCACTGGCAAGCATTTGGAGTTTATTGTTCGTTTTGTGGTCAGATTTTAACACAGTGTCATGCTATATTTAAATCGTTTAAAAAAACAGAACGTATGATTTTATATGTACTAAAGTACGATAAATGTCACCGTGATGAAGTCATGAGAATGATTCGTTTTGAACACATTTAGCACAGTGCTGAAGACCTAGGTATCAAAGTACTACACAGTACTGAAGACCCAGGAATTAAAGTACAACACAGTACTGCAGACACAGGTATCAAAGTACAACACAGTACTGAAGACTCAGGCATCAAAGTACAACACAGTACTGAAGACACAGGTATCAAAGTACAACACAGTACTGAAGACACAGGTATCAAAGTACAACACAGTACTGAAGACACAGGTATCAAAGTACAACACAGTACTGAAGACACAGGTATCAAAGTACTACACAGTACTCTAGACCCCAGGTGTCGAGCTGTCAATCCATGTCGTCACGTGACCCAACTCACCCCTAGGCTTCAGCACGTCAACACCAACAGCTCACGTTCGTGACAGATGTTCACAATTCAACAGTTCGACGTGATCGATCAGCGACTATAGATCGGACTCATAGTAAACAAGGCGCTGGTTTATTTGGAGGGATAGTTCACATGGTTTCCTGATGGCTAGTTTACATGGTTTCCTGGTGGCTAGTTCACATGGTTTCTTGATGGTAGTTCACATTGTTTCTTGATGGCTAGTTCATATGGTTTCTTGATGGCTAGTTCACATTGTTTCTTGATGGCTAGTTATGGCTAGTTCACATGGTTTCTTGATGGCTAGTTCACATGGTTTCTTGATGGCTAGTTCACATGGTTTCTTGATGGCTAGTTGACATGGTTTCTTAATGGTAGTTCACATGATTTTTAAATAACTGTCTAATTTTGGTCGTTTCTGGCAATTTCAAAGTTTCTATCTTTTCAAGTGTCGAGTCGCTATTTCTATTTCTGTCAGCTGTCTCAATGTTTTGTGGCTATTCCACGATGTGTCTAAGATGTTCAAATCTAGAATACACAAATGTGTATGTCCAAGGCGGACATGTGGAAATCTGCTTTATTTGAATACAGTTTACTGTTCTCTGGTGTGTCATTCCATAACACAGTGAGGTGTTGTGTTGATCCGTGTTTTATGTGGGTTTAGCGATGTTTTGGTACACACTGATGTGGTCATTGGTTGCAGTCCATGTGTTGGTGATTGATTCGTACACACTGATGTTTCGTTGGATGTCCCTCATATGACAATAGACTGTTCTGTCTTAAACTGTGTGTTGGTTGCGATTCTGTCGTATCTCTCTATCAGTGGAGCACAACACTAATGCAAGAGTGGCTGCAATAATTGAAGCACGAAATAATCCTAGCCTACACTGATCTAATCAATGTTTCAAAATTTGCTTTCCTGGATTACTCTGGATCACAGTGTCATGTTTGTGTTGTCTACATCTGTCCACACCAAGCTGTGCCTTGTCGATGTCGTAAAGGGAGGGGGGAGGGGGCGGTGCAACTCTCTTTTATAGTCAATAGTTGAGTTCAGTGTCTTGGCGAACATTGGCCAACCGGCTGGTGCTTGTTATGACACAGTCACCTCGCCCTCAACCCCCATCCCCCACCCACCCCCCTCCCACCCCCCCTCCCACCCCCCACCCACCCCCCTCCCACCCCCCACCCACCCCCCCTCCCACCCCCCACCCACCCCCCCCCCCCCCTCCCACCCCCAACATTTAAGTTTTTAAACTTTTTTGCATGAACAATTAGGAATGCGAAATGTTTGGTCAATGTTCAGTTTGGGAAAAAAAATGTAGTGTAAGTAAAAGTTCACGCTTGGGACTCGACTTAGTGAAATGTGATTTTTTTTTGCAGGTGTACGTTCAAGAGGTTCAACATTGACGGCAGCGACAGGTTCAACTTTATCAACATGTACACACGATCAACAAATACAGTTGTATCAACATGATTAACTAGTCAACTTTATCAACACAAGATCAAAACCAACTTTATCAACGCGTAAACAAGTGCTTTTTTATCAACCTAATCAACATGTTCAACTTAACACAATCAACTGTTTCAACTTAACACAATCAACTGGTTCAACTTAACACAATCAACAGCATCAACTAAACACCATCAACTGTTTCAACTTAACAAACACCTCAATCAAGCCGTGCCAATTAAAATATTTTCACCCACTGTTTGACGTCAGACGTTAATTAAACTTCCTCCTAATTAAGACAACAGCACTCTTTAAACCCAGTTGGTGCTAGGCTGCCAGTTATCGACCAATCAACGACATCCAAACACGGACCTTATTCGGTGTTCACATTCTAATGTACTAAAGCTGTACATGTTCTCAGATTCAACACATTCGGATATTACCATCTTAAAACGGAGCAGATTCCTACTTCGTACGCATTCTGATACTGGACTAATTCTGACATTGTACAGATTCTCAAATTATTTTTCCAACGTTCACACTATTGGAACAGGGAGGAGTTAACAATGCGATCCTACAGCTGACACACAAACTCGGCATGTTTCCCTGAACTGATCACCTCCTGACCCCCCGGCCATGGCCTTGCTGAGGTCAAGGTCGACTGAGTTCCTGCCCACCCGGTCCATCTCCTCCAGCACGCGCAAACTGCAGGAGGCGTTGTACACGCACCTGGATGACCTTGAGAAAGGGGCGTTCATCGAGGCCCTCAGCTCGTACGGGCGCCGGCGTGATGTGTTCGAGCTGGTTAACGCCCTCCGGAAGATCCTCAACACGCCCGTCAAGCGTCAGCTGTTTCCCCTGGTCAGGCGGGTCATCCGGCCAGAGGATGGCGGGGCTTTTGATCTGCTCACCAGGTAAGCTCAGAGCTTAAGGCTTTTGATCTGCTCACCAGGTAAGCTCGGAGCTTAAGGTTTTATGTCTGATGATTAGGTCAGCTCAGAGCTTAAGGCTTAAGATTTGCTGACTAGGTCATCTCAGAGCTTAAAGTTTTATGTCTGTTGAATATGTAAGCTTAGAGCTTAAGATGTTATGTCTGTTGACCAGGTAAGCTTAGAGCTTAAGGCTTTAGGTCTGTTGACTAAGTAAGCTCTGAGCTTAATCTCTCACTAGGCTAGACTTTAGATCTGCTGACTGAGCTCAGATAATTCGTTTCTCATCAGATGAACTCAGAGTTTAAGTAGCTGACTGTAAGCTCAGAGCTTAAGTTTCTAACTGGCTCAGCTCAGAGCTTACGAGCGCTTAGAGTTTAAAATTATTGTTAAAATTTTAAAAATCAAAGCCGTTTGGGAACCATCGATTACACTCATTTTTATATTTTTGTATCGAGTATAAGCAGTTGAAAAACAGTTTACATTATTTTATCAATTCAAATATTTTTAAAAAAAGTCCTCAACCTCTGCTTGAAGTATGCCGGGGTGGCCAGGGAAAGTCGATGGAGTTTATATTAACTAACACAACATCCCCTATCACCACAACACCCTGACTCCACTGGTCCAAATTAAAAACAAGTGTTAGCTACATTACTATTATATTACAATTAATTATTTGAGTGAGTATTTCTAGACTTAGTAAAACCGGGAGTCATTTTGTGCTTATTTCTCAAATGCTATAGCATAGTCACTTTGGGTTGAATGTGCTATCTGCAACAACCAAGGTTGTCCAGTTAACCAGGGTTGTCCATCTGTAGAGGCGGTTGTCCATCTGTAGAGGGTTGTACATCAGTCTGAGGTTGGTCTAGCTGTACCATACATCATACAACCGTTCCGATAAATATCGCAGGCCGTAGCATAGAACAAAGACAAAACACATCTAGCAGTAAAAAAAAAATCAACACGATAGCAATGTATGACCCGGAACATCCAACTCTATCTGGTTGTATCAACCCTAACATATAAAATCTGACATTTCACACGGAATGTCTCACGACCGACAACTCTGTCTTCTGTCCTACAGGGGAGATCAGCAACACAGCACCTTGCCGCGGCCATATTTGTTCCGGCCCCACCTGGCCGACCTGAACGTCCTCAACAAGTACCGGTCCGGCACCCTGTCTTCTGCCGGACGACGTGCCGGGCTGTCGGAGACCAACGGACCCACCGTCACGGTGCATCGGTCTGGGCAGAGGGAGCAGAGTGAAGCTGGACCCGCACAGAAACACAAGACAATGACACGACGCTCGTCCAACTCGCACCGCGGGCAGGAAGGGGAAATAATCGAGGTAAATCGTACCGGTGGCAAGCATTTCCTTGTTACTTCCCTTATATGTGTTCGATCTCATCCTCTCCTTTCAGTTCGATAACAAATCTTGTTCTTATTTCAACTTGAAATACGATTTTTTTTCGCGCAATGTATTAAAATCTTAAACATGTCTAAATTAGTCCAAAATTTATGTAAATGTAGCTTTGAGATAAATATAATAGTTTTTAATTGCTAGTTTTAAATGAAACACAATGAAATTATTACACAGGACGTACAGACAGTGTCTTCACCAACACACAAGCGTGCTGAATGTACACTTACAACAAGATAATTACCTCACATTTTTCGTTTTGTTTCATTTAAATACTCTGCTTTGACGAAGGCCTTGAGTCGAAACGTCTGTTATATGTGTATGTATGTCTATATTGTACTGTACCCTACACACCTTGTGGGTCACGCTGACCTAACACAACTATTGTGTCACGCTGACCCAACACAACCTGTGGGTCACGCTGACCTAACACAACCTGTGGGTCACGCTGACCAAACACAACTATTGTGTCACGCTGACCCAACACAACCTGTGGGTCATGCTGACCTAACACAACTATTGTGTCACGCTGACCTCTGTATGACCAGGTGGAACTGGGCGAGCCGAACCCTGACGAGGCTGGCTACGGCTTCACCATCAGGGGCGGGGTCGACATCGGCGTGGGGGTCTACGTCTCCTCGGTGGACCCCGGGGGTCTGGCAGAGAAGAATGGGCTGGAGGTCGGTGACCTCATCCTAGAGGTCAACAACATCTCCTTCACTGACGTCACGCATGACGAGGCAGCCAGGGTAGGTCATGTCAGTTGTATTGTCAGTATGGCTGACCCGTAGCTGGACAGTATAGCTGTCCTCTAGCTGGACAGTATAGCTGACCTTTAGCTTTGAGAGTACAGCTGACCAATAGCTGGACGGGTATAATTGACAACTACGTTAAGCGTGAGATAAAAAACAAAGAAGCGTTTAAAAAGAAGCGTTGACTGTATGTGGCCATCTAGTTCAGATTATGTTGATTGTATGTGGCCATCTAGTTCAGATTATGTTGATTGTATGTGACCATCTAGTTTAGATTATGTTGATTGTATGTGACCATCTAGTTCAGATTATGTTGATTGTATGTGACCATCTAGTTCAGATTATGTTGATTGTATGTGACCATCTAGTTCAGATTATGTTGATTGTATGTGACCATCTAGTTCAGATTATGTTGATTGTATGTGACCATCTAGTTCAGATTATGTTGATTGTATGTGACCATCTAGTTCAGATTATGTTGATTGTATGTGACCATCTAGTTCAGATTATGTTGATTGTATGTGACCATCTAGTTCAGATTATGTTGATTGTATGTGACCATCTAGTTCAGATTATGTTGATTGTATGTGACCATCTAGTTCAGATTATGTTGATTGTATGTGACCATCTAGTTCAGATTATGTTGATTGTATGTGACCATCTAGTTCAGATTATGTTGATTGTATGTGACCATCTAGTTCAGATTATGTTGATTGTATGTGACCATCTAGTTCAGATTATGTTGATTGTATGTGACCATGTAGTTCAGATTATGTTGATTGTATGTGACCATCTAGTTCAGATTATGTTGATTGTATGTGACCATCTAGTTCAGATTATGTTGATTGTATGTGACCATCTAGTTCAGATTATGTTGATTGTATGTGACCATCTAGTTCAGATTATGTTGATTGTATGTGACCATCTAGTTCAGATTATGTAGATTGTATGTAACCATCTAGTTCAGATTATGTTGATTGTATGTGACCATCTAGTTCAGATTATGTTGATTGTATGTGACCATGTAGTTCAGATTATGTTGATTGTATGTGACCATTTAATTCAGATTATGTTGATTGTATGTGACCATCTAGTTCAGATTATGTTGATTGTATGTGACCATCTACTTCAGATTATGTTGATCGTATGTGACCATCTAGTTCAGATTATGTTGATTGTATGTGACCATCTAGTTCAGATTATGTAGATTGTATGTGACCATCTACTTCAGATTATGTAGATTGTATGTCACCATCTATTTCAGATCATCAAAGCAGCGACGAGGCTTCACGTCACAGTGTCACGTGTTGGCCGTATCCCCGGGACTATGACGGTCCTTGAAGCCTACAAATGGACGGACCCCAAGGGCCGGCCGGTCTCTCCCCCTCTCCTGGGCAGCGGCCCTGGGTCAGGTGAGGATGAGGGCAGAGACAGGAGCGGCACCTTGATGCTCAAAGGCAGCGATGAGAGAAAGGTGGGCATATAACATGTCATATAACATTTCATATAACATTTCACATAACATTTCATATATCATTTCATATAACATTTCATATAACATTTCATATAACATTTCATATAACATTTCATATAACATTTCATATAACATTTCATATAACATTTCATATAACATTTCATATAACATTTCATATAACATTTCATATAACATTTCATATAACATTTCATATAACATTTCATATAACATTTCATATAACATTTCATATAACATTTCATATAACATTTCATATAACATTTCATATAACATTTCATATAACATTTCATATAACATTTCATATAACATTTCATATAACATTTCATATAACATTTCATATAACATTTAATATATAACATTTCATATAACATTTCATATAACATTTCATATAACCTTTCATATAACATTTAATAGAACATTTCATATAACATTTCATATAACATTTCATATAACATTTCATATAACATTTCATATAACATTTCATATAACATTTCATATAACATTTCATATAACATTTCATATAACATTTCATATAACATTTCATATAACATTTCATATAACATTTCATATAACACGCGTCACACAAATTTTCAATACACGACACAACTTTCAACAATAAAAAGGTCACAGCTTTCAACATTGAAAAGGTCACAATTTTCAAGATGTCAAACAACTTAGATGATAGATCATGCCACAATATTAGCATACATATGCTCCACGCCTCACGATCCTTTAAGCAGATTGTGTGACAATGACATGTGACACTAGAACCGTCACGAAGATTGTGTGACAATGACATGTGACACAACAACCGTCACGAAGATTGTGTGACAATGACATGTGACTCTAGAACCGTGACAAAGATTGTGTGACAATTGTCCTCTGTGTGACACAGGTCAACATTGTGGTACAGAGGGGTCAAGGTCTCGGCCTGATGATCAGGGGTGGGAGTGAGTACGGGTTGGGGATCTTCATCTCTGGGGTCGATCCCTTCTCTGTCGCTGAGAACGCTGGACTTAAGGTAGGTGTGGGGGGACTGTGAGTGTGTGTGGGGTTGTGAGGGTGTGTATGGGTGTGTGGGGCTGTGAGGATGCGTGTGAGGCTGTGAGGGGGATATGTGGGGCTGTGAGGGGGTGGGGGGCTTTGAAAGAGGTGTGGGTGAGTGTGGGGGTGAGACTGTGAGGGTGTCGGGCTGTGAGGGTGTGTGAGGCTGTGAGGGTGTGAGGGTGTGTGGGGCTGGTGGGGCTGTGTGGGGCTGTGAGGGGCTGTGAAAAATAAGAGGGGATACTTAATATGTTGGATGTATAAAATATATAAATAAAACATGTTTATTTTTTTTTATTTTTACTCCCCCCCCCCCCCCCTCCAACCCACTCATTAGCCTGGGGATCAAATCCTGGACGTGAACGGAAGAAATTTTCTCACCATCAGCCACGCTGAGGCCGTGAAACATCTAAAGCACGGGCGTCACGTGATCATGACGCTGAGAGATGTCGGGAAGATTCCATTCGCTAAGACCACCATTGACGAGACGGGCTGGGTGGAGAGTACAAGGATAGGGTCGTACGATCAGAGCACGTCTAGTCGGTGAGTGGGAGAGTACAGGGATAGTCTCGTGTGAGAGTACAAGGATAGGCTCGTACGATCAGAGCACGTCTAGTCGGTGAGTGGGAGAGTACAAGGATAGGCTCGTACGATCAGAGCACGTCTAGTCGGTGAGTGCTAGAGTACAAGGATAGGCTCGTACGATCAGAGCATGTCTAGTCGGTGAGTGGGAGAGTACAGGGATAGGCTCGTACGATCAGAGCATGTCTAGTCGGTGAGTGGGAGAGTACAAGGATAGGCTCGTACGATCAGAGCACGTCTAGTCGGTGAGTGGGAGAGTACAGGGATAGGCTCGTACGATCAGAGCATGTCTAGTCGGTGAGTGGGAGAGTACAGGGATAGGCTCGTACGATCAGAGCATGTCTAGTCGGTGAGTGGGAGAGTACAGGGATAGGCTCGTACGATCAGAGCATGTCTAGTCGGTGAGTGGGAGAGTACAAGGATAGGGTCGTACGATCAGAGCACGTCTAGTCGGTGAGTGGGAGAGTACAGGGATAGGCTCGTACGATCAGAGCATGTCTAGTCGGTGAGTGGGAGAGTACAAGGATAGGCTCGTACGATCAGAGCATGTCTAGTCGGTGAGTGGGAGAGTACAGGGATAGGCTCGTACGATCAGAGCATGTCTAGTCGGTGAGTGGGAGAGTACAGGGATAGGCTCGTACCATCAGAGAACGTCTAGTCGGTGAGTGGGAGAGTACAAGGATAGGCTCGTACCATCAGAGAACGTCTAGTCGGTGAGAGGGAGAGTACAGGGATAGGCTCGTACGATCAGAGCACGTCTAGTCGGTGAGTGGGAGAGTACAGGGATAGGCTCGTACGATCAGAGCATGTCTAGTCGGTGAGTGGGAGAGAACAAAGATAGGCTCGTACGATCAGAGCATGTCTAGTCGGTGAGTGGGAGAGTACAAGGATAGGCTCGTACGATCAGAGCAGTCGGTGAGTGGGAGAGTACAAGGATAGGCTCGTACGATCAGAGCAGTCGGTGAGTGGGAGAGTACAAGGATAGGCTCGTACGGTCAGAGCAGTCGGTGAGTGGGAGAGTACAAGGATAGGCTCGTACGATCAGAGCACGTCTAGTCGGTGAGTGGGAGAGTACAAGGATAGGCTCGTACGATCAGAGCATGTCTAGTCGGTGAGTGGGAGAGAACAAAGATAGGCTCGTACGATCAGAGCATGTCTAGTCGGTGAGTGGGAGAGTACAAGGATAGGCTCGTACGATCAGAGCATGTCTAGTCGGTGAGTGGGAGAGAACAAAGATAGGCTCGTACGATCAGAGCATGTCTAGTCGGTGAGTGGGAGAGTACAAGGATAGGCTCGTACGATCAGAGCACGTCTAGTCGGTGAGTGGGAGAGTACAAGGATAGGCTCGTACGATCAGAGCACGTCTAGTCGGTGAGTGGGAGAGTACAAGGATAGGCTCGTACGATCAGAGAATGTCCAGTCGGTGAGTTCAGGAGAGAGGAGGGGTGGGGAGGGGAGGTTGGTGCAGTAGAGGGGGGGGGGGGGGGTCCTGATTTATTTTTGTGTGTATTTATAGAAAGGGTATTTTTTAAGTTTAAATTTTTTATTCAATTACAATAGAGCGGTCCAGCGGGTCCATTTTTCTTAAAATCTTGAATGTGTCCTGGTGTCTCAGAGTGCTATTTTTGTTAACAACTTTCAAATGTGTGTCGCATCATTGGTGGTCGATCTAATTCAAGCACTTTCAGAAATGTATACAATTTATAACGGATAATTGTTATTTCAGTGGATCAACCATAGCAAGCATTTCAGACCTTGACGTACAGAAGGTAAGATCTCTTCGAGTTTCTGCTGTAGTGTGTTTCTGTTTACTTGCAGAAACTGTACATTTGTTATTTCAAATACATTGTTAAATTAAACCCTATAATGTGTATCATATGATTGATTAGCATGCCTTTGAAGTAATATCCATACATAATTTACTTTAAGAAAATAATCAGTACATTTTAGTTCCATCTCTTTGATTCCAGAAACTACTGCGTGCCGTCAACCCCGCCCTGACGTCTGCTGGTGGGAGCACCCCCAGGGGTCAACTGTCCGGCCAGGCCAGTCTTCTGCTCAACAGCACGGAGCAGACGGCCTTGAACTATTACCTGGCGGAGTACGACAAGCAGACGATAGCGGTCCAAGGTCTTCTGCAGGCGTTGTTTGAGCTGCTCAACACGCCGGCCAAGGTAGGGGGGGAGGGGGTGATAATTGATTAGCCAGGTCACTGAACTAATCAATTAGTATGTATTTCAAACACATTTTAACGACCTTCTGTGTGACGTCACAAACTCCTGGCACCTGTGTGTGACGTCACAAACGCCTGCGTACAGCGGTGTGTGACGTCACATGACCTGATGTTTATACTTGCAGCTGACCTTGATGTCCGCGATCCGAACATGTGTCCTGCCTAAAGACCTGGTGACCTTTGACCAGCTGGTGGCCAAGCAACATCTGGATCGCTCTCTGGTCAGTGCTGGTTTGTCTCCCTTCATCTGGTGCTCTGTGCTTCTAATCGTTGTATCATACACACACACACACACGCACGCATTCAAACACATACACGCACACACATATACGCACACACACACACACACACACATACACGCACATACACGCACGCATACAAACACATACACGCACACACATATATGCACACACGCACGCACGCACACACATATACGCACTCACGCACGCACTCACACAAACATACACGCACACACACATACACAAAGACACACACACACACCCACACAAACACATAAACACACACATATGCATCGCTCAGCGTCTAAAACCGCGTGCGGACCACCACTAAGTCAAACTGTTTGTGTTTGTCCTTAGAACGACGCCAGGAAGGTTCTGGCACCGGAGCGGATGTCCATCCTGTCGTTTGACAGTGACGACGGCACCAGACGCTCTGAGGACCACCGACGTACGTTGTTTTCACATCCGGTAAGTGACGTCAACTTCCGGTCAATTAAAACATAAAATATGGTCCCGTGTTGTCGCAAATCTTAACTTAAAACATTTTGATCTGTAAAAATATGACTTATATTTGTATCATTTAATATAGGGGAATTGATTGAACGAATGCTGACTTACACCTAAATTAATGTCACTATGTTGTAAGTAACCGTCATTTTACCCACAGACCAAACGCCTACATGTGATGGACGTCCTTGACTTTGACCCGGAAGATGACCTCACGCCATCTCACGCGCTGGTACGTGTGTTTGTAGTGAATTATGTCCCCTGTTTTAAACGTAAAAATTGCATCGTGTCCGTCAGCATATTGACACAAATACAACCATTATTTAAAGCGAAACGTTTCAAAGATGTGATTTTGTCCACACAAATTTCACATGTGATATATTCCAGAAGAGTGAAGCCTACAGGACAATGAGTCGCTCCACCCCAGAGATAGGTACCGCAGACAACGTTCACTACATCACATCAACAATGTCAAGGCCGAGGTCAAAGTCCCCCCACTCGGCTGGGAGACAGAGGAAGTTGATGAAAGCACTCACCCAGACCCCCACCCCCCACCGGCCACGGGCTGATTCGGTGGGCAGAACTAACAGCAAGGTAGGGGGTCGGGCCTGCTTACTGCGGCTAACGGTGGAGGAGATACGCAAGGTGCTTATATCCTCTCACGATTGATATGATATAAGCATTATACTTATTTCTTCTCAATCGTGAGAGGATATAAGCACATATTTGCTCTACAGGATGTGAGATAATATAAGCACCTCTTAGCGTATTTTTTCAATCGTTTGTTTAAATAAGCACTACCTTTTTACACACTTGTATGCTCATCTGCATTAACGTACATACATTAGCACAAGCATACACACAAATCACACACATATCACACAGTAGATAGACTTCTAGCCCACCTTCTACATACACCTCACAAAGAGGTACCACGTGACACAATCGTGTCATCTCCTCAGGTCGATGACCCCAGCGATGACAGTGGTGTTGACATCCACGGCCAACCCACCAACCACGAGGATTCTTCTGCCAACCACAACTCTTACCTCCATCATTACCTACAGTTACAGCAGGTTTGTCCACTTTTACAACAGGTTTGTCCACTTTTACAGCAGGTTTGTCCACTTTTACAACAGGTTTGTCCACTTTTACATCAGGTTTGTCCACTTTTACATCAAGTTTGTCCACTTTTACATCAGGTTTGTCCACTTTTACATCAAGTTTGTCCACTTTTACATCAAGTTTGTCCACTTTTACATCAAGTTTGTCCACTTTTACATCAGGTGTGTCCACTTTTACATCAAGTTTGTCCACTTTTACATCAAGTTTGTCCACTTTTACAGCAGGTTTGTCCACTTTTACATCAAGTTTGTCCACTTTTACAGCAGCTTTGTCCACTTTTACATCAGGTTTGTCCACTTTTACATCAGGTTTGTCCACTTTTACATCAAGTTTGTCCACTTTTACATCAGGTTTGTCCATTTTTACATCAGGTTTGTCCACTTTTACATCAGGTTTGTCCACTTTTACATCAGGTTTGTCCACTTTTACATCAGGTTTATCCACTTTTACATCAGGTTTGTCCACTTTTACATCAAGTTTGTCCACTTTTACATCAGGTTTGTCCACTTTTACATCAGGTTTGTCCACTTTTACATCAGGTTTGTTTATTACATCAGCAGATCACAAACAACAAGACATAGATTTCTATATTGTATTCGCTTCTTGTGATGTCAGTGAATACAGTCGCCATGTTTGCCACCGTCATCGAATGATAAATCACGATTTCCTTTTACCTTCAACTTTCAGAAATCCACAACTTTTACTTTCACCTTTCAGAAGCCAGCCAGACATTACACCGGAACCGGAAACAACCAAAACTCCCATCGTGTCGTACACCACGTGGCCGAGGTCCACCAAGCAGACGGCCATTTTGATGACGTCAACGACTCCTCCACTATTTCCTCCAACGACGACCGTCATCAAACAATCCAGCATTCCGACCAAGGTCGGCAGTTAAGGTCAAGGTCGAAATCCAACTCCCGCCCTCACACGCCGACCGTTACGTTCGGTCACGATGACGTCATCAATGGCGGGATGACAGAAGATGTTGACATCAGAAAACCACATCACGGTGTCTCACACCCACCCTCCACACGACAGCCCAACAGACCAACCGAGGACGATGTACCCGCGTCAAATGTTTCCAACAAAACTGCCCCCATTCATCCATCCCGCCACTCAACTTCCGGTTTCCCCAGAAACCAACAGACCACCATCACAATAAACGGAACACCCATGTCACCATCTGTCTCACGACACCACCCGACCTCCAACAACAGCATCACATCCACACCACCAGACAACCTGACACCAGACGACAACCACCTCAAGCTAACGAAACCTCGGGCCGTCAAACTCGCTCGCTCCAACAAGGTCAGGTCACCCGTACCTGACAGAAAACCCGTGGCAGCGTCACTGTTTCAGAGACAACCCAACCCAACCCCATCTAGTGCCATCATCAGGCTAGACTCTTCCGCCCCCACCCCGCCTCAGGAACCAGCCAATCAAAAACAGAGAAGATTCTCGTCACCCACTAAAAACTCACCAAAAAAATCCGCCAGCTCCAAGTATTCATCCGCCAAGCCTACGGCTTCCGTTGCTGTCCCGCTGATAAAAATAAACCCTCAGACCCATCCGCATGCGGAGGCTGCGTCATCAAGGTTAAGTATGACGTCACAAGCCCCTTCGGCGACAATTAACGTGACGTCAAACTACGTCAATGACACTGTCAATCATACAGACACGGTGAGCAGGCTCGGGAAAAACGTCGTCAACATTTTGGTGGGCGGGGCTTCACCGCCAACCCCCAAACAGGAGCCGGTAAGTTGAAGCTTTGTTAGATAGTGATTTAGTTGGTCGGTCAGTTGGTCACCTGGTCAAAGGGGAAGCGACACTGTCATGGCGACATTGTCATGGCGACATTGTCATGGCGACACTGTCATGGCGACACTGTCATGGCGACACTGTCATGGCGACACTGTCATGGCGACACTGTCATGGCGACACTGTCATGGCGACACTGTCATGGCGCCACTGTCATGGCGACATTGTCATGGCGACACTGTCTTGGCGACATTGTCATGGCGACATTGTCATGGCGACACTGTCATGGCGACAACGTCATGGCGACACCGTCATGGCGAGACTGTCATGGCGAGACTGTTATTTTGTCATGGCGACACTGTCATGGCGACACTGTCATGGCGACACTGTCATGGCGACACTGTCATGGCGAGACTGTCTTGGCGACATTGTCATGGCGACACTGTCTTGGCGACATTGTCATGGCGACATTGTCATGGCGACACCGTCATGGCGAGACTGTCATGGCGAGACTGTTATTTTGTCATGGCGACAATGTCATGGCGACACCGTCATGGCGACACTGTCATGGCGAAATTGTCATCGCGACATTGTCATGGCGACATTGTCATGGCGACACTGTCATGGCGAGACTGTTATTTTGTCATGGCGACACTGTCATGGCGACACTGTCATGGCGACACTGTCATGGCGACATTGTCATGGCGACATTGTCATGGCGACATTGTCATGGCGACATTGTCATGGCGACATTGTCATGGCGACACCGTCATGGCGACACTGTCATGGCGACACCGTCATGGCGACACTGTCATGGCGACATTGTCATGGCGACACTGTCATGGCGACAGTGTTAAGCTAAACACAAAGTATTAAATAAATGTCGAAAATGTTTTCAGTACATTCTCGATCTGCCAGCTCCAAGCTCCTACCTAACGTGCCGTATTATTCTATTTATATTACACCGCTGTTTTTAAATCGCGCTCTGTTACATTTATTACGAAATTTGATTACGAAATTTGTATTCTCTAAAACAAAAACTATTATCTAAATCTAATGAAATTACATGTATGAGGCACCCAAAATGTGCTTTCTATAAGAAGAGATTATTTTATTTCGTTTCATGCTAATCTCTCTCGAAGCAAAAAAAATAAACCGGTAGTGATCTCCCCTAAACTTTCTCGAATATTCTTATATAAAACAACAGGGGATGGTAACTGGGGATATAGTTATGATTTTTAATCCATTTTAAATACTAAAACTTTTAAAAAAATTTCATAAAAAACGTTTTAATAACAAGCTTTTATGTAATGATGCACTAAAAAGTAGAAAATAAATTATAGACTACTATTTAAATAACTATAAAGAAAAGCGTGGGTCACTTTAGTATCTATTGGATACCTTTACTAATGTTAAGGAAGACACCCACGCTTTTCTTTATAGTTATTTAAATAGTAGTCTATAATTTATTTTCTACTTTTTAGTGCATCATTACATAAAAGCTTGTTATTAAAACGTTTTTTATGAAAAATTTTTTCAGTACTTTACATGTTTTATCTACAATAGAGTTACATGACTAAAAACCATTGCGCGCCTACTGAATATCACGTTCAGTAGGCGCGCAATGGTTTTTGAACGCAGCCATTACGTGGTCGTGATGGCGCAGCTATTGATGACGCGTGTGGTGTGGTTGGCTAGACATGCCTACTAATTCGGTCCAAATTTTAATTAATTCATAAAAAATCAATTAGGCATCCAATTAAGTCAAATTTAGTTTCAGATTGCACTGTCTTCATGTCTTGACCCATGTGCCAACTGTGAATCGTGTCGGTCAAGTAGAACTGTCCGAATTTTCACTCCTGCGTTTCCGTCTAGACAGACAGACTGTCGACTGTCGACTGACGAGGAAGTGAGTTAAATAAAAGCTTGTAAAAATAGAATAGAATCTCATAAAAAAAAACATTGCGCACCAAGCAAACGCCGAATAAAAACGCGTATAATAGTGCGCAATATTATTAGTATTTTAAAAATTTACATTAGTTTTTTGAGAAATCGGAAGTAGCGTAAATTACTACTTCCAGTCAACGGAAATTACTCAAAATTTAACAGAAGGTAGAGAATTAGATCTTTTACTTACATGTGAAATTTCATTTATCTATCTGAAATAGTACTCAAGTTATAGGCTTTTGAAAAATTCAAAGTAGGAAAAGTACCACTTCCGGTTATCGGAAATCGCTCAAAAGTTGATACGGATCTACGATTTTGATAAAATACTTATATATGAAATTTCATCAACCTAGCTGTAACGGTACTCAAGTTATCGTGTTTACACACGGACAGACACACACACGGACAGACACACACACACACAGACATACGGACAAGATTGCAAAATTATGTTTTTCCGTATCAGTGAGGTGTAAAACGTCGAGATTTGTAAAAATCTCGATTTTTTTTTTTGCACGATTACAAGACTTTCTCTATACTACGTATATACGAGAAAGTAAAAATGAGTCGCAAAAAAAGTCTAATTCAATTAACTTGATTTTGGGAAAAAATGATCTTTTTAAAAAAGTAAACTTCTGATTCATTACATTAATTAGTCCACGATATTAACAACGTGCCAATAAGTCATGCACATTGGAAGCTTACAAAATACAAGAGCGATGTCGCCTGTGTAAGCGGTACCACGTCAATATCCCTCCGCCATTCAATCAATACCAATTATCCACCCTTTGTCTCCACACAGTAAGCCAGCACGCTCGATAACTCTTGTCTACCTGTTTGTCGTGTTGTCTCCCCTGCGTGTCGCCGCTTACTGCCGCTGTTCTGTGTAGCAACATGGCCGACTGCCATTGACAACAGACTCCAGTAAAGTGCTAGCACGCCACACAAGGAATTGTGTGAAAATATCAGTGAAAATATGTGTGGGCTTTTCGGTGAAGTTTTGTGAGAAATTTAAAACTGGATGCTCACTAATATTTATGTTTTCATTTCAAATAGTTTGAACTTTCTCAATTTCATTGTTTCACGCTTCGTTGTTTTGAAATTGTGGAAGCAAAGTAAAGTGTTATACGTTACCTGAGTTAAGTAGCCTACATAACCATAGGTTGTACATTCTGACGTCATCACTAACGCTGTACGGCTATGTCCTAGGGTACTGTCATGTTAAAGGTAATGTTACAGAGCAGGTCCGAGCAGTGCTGCTCTCTGTGAGCAGGGCTGTGTGAGCAGGGCTGTACGTAGGGCTGTTTTAAGCCAGACGTGACCTTGAGCGTGAGCACTATTATGCGTGGATGTCTAGTGAGTTACACTAATCCGGATTACGCGGACTTGGTGTGAAATCTTCCTTGTGACGTCATGGACGGGTGCCTGGGTCAGAAAGGTTTCCGCCTCCCCCGCCCCGAGGTCTACACACCCGTGGAGCTGGCCCACATGGACGACCAGAGCAAGGTAGATGCCACTCTAGGTCAAGGTCATTGTAGGTCATGGTTCATTGTAGGTCATGGTTCATTGTAGGTCATGGTTCATTGTAGGTCAAGGGTCATTGTAGGTCATCATGGTTTCCTTGTAGGTCATCATGGTTTCCTTGTAGGTCATCATGGTTTCATTGTAGGTCATCATGGTTTTTTATTGTAGGTCATCGTGGTTTCTTATTGTAGGTCATCATGGTTTTTATTGTAGGTAAAAAATAGCTCATAGTTCCATTGTAGGTCATCATGGTTTTTTATTGTAGGTCATCATGTTTTTTATTGTATGTCATCATGGTTTTTTATTGTAGGTCATGGTTTCATTGTAGGTCATCATGGTTTTTTATTGTAGGTCATCATGATTTTTATTGTAGGTCATCATGGTTTTTTATTGTAGGTCAAAAATAGCTCATGGTTCCATTGTAGGTCATCATGGTTTTTATTGTAGGTCATGGATCCATTTTATGTCACTGAACCATTGTACCTAATTATCTATATTGTGTCTGTCATTCAGGCTTCATAGTATCCTCATGTGGCGAGGGGTTTATATATTGTTTCTGTCTCTATGACCAAAGTGTTACACAGTGGTCAAATTATATCGGAGCAACCGTCAGTGGTTTCAGAGCAATTCATATGCTCACAATGTGTCACAAACACACACATACACACACACATACTATAAATTCACTTAGCTGCTGGCCATTATCAATTATCACATTTTAAAATCGTTGATCTCTGAGTTTTTCCATGAAACTAAGGAAATGTGAATTCTGCAATACAAAAACTCAATACCATTTACCCAGCTACTTAGAAATTAGATCCCCTAATTTGACGAGCTATTAGTTTAGTTTGCCGTCAATCGTTCAATCAATACGGAAAGGATTGAGTTGGCCAATTAATTATAGAGCAACCAGTCGGAGATTAATAGTTGTTTACTAATTGGCGGGCTCTACACAAGTAGAGTAGTGCCCGCAGTTGTGGTGTGGGGCCGGCAGCTGTGTGTGGGGCCGGCAGTTGTGGTGTGGGGCCGGCAGTTATGGTGTGGGGCCGGCAGTTGTGGTGTGGGGCCGGCAGCTGTGTGTGGGGCCGGCAGTTGTGGTGTGGGGCCGGCAGTTATGGTGTGGGGCCGGCAGTTGTGGTGTGGGGCCGGCAGCTGTGTGTGGGGCCGGCAGTTGTGGTGTGGGGCCGGCAGTTATGGTGTGGGGCCGGCAGTTGTGGTGTGGGGCCGGCAGCTGTGTGTGGGGCCGGCAGTTGTGGTGTGGGGCCGGCAGTTATGGTGTGGGGCCGGCAGTTGTGGTGTGGGGCCGGCAGTTGTGGTGTGGGGCCGGCAGCTGTGGTGTGGGGCCGGCAGCTGTGTGTGGGGCCGGCAGTTGTGGTGTGGGGCCGGCAGCTGTGGTGTGGGGCCGGCAGTTGTGGTGTGGGGCCGGCAGTTGTGGTGTGGGGCCGGCAGCTGTGTGTGGGGCCGGCAGTTGTGGTGTGGGGCCGGCAGATGTGGTGTGGGGCCGGCAGTTGTGGTGTGGGGCCGGCAGTTGTGGTGTGGGGCCGGCAGATGTGGTGTGGGGCCGGCAGTTGTGGTGTGGGGCCGGCAGTTGTGGTGTGGGGCCGGCAGATGTGGTGTGGGGCCGGCAGTTGTGGTGTGGGGCCGGCAGTTGTGGTGTGGTGGGGCCGGCAGCTGTGGTGTGGGGCCGGCACTTGTGGTGTGGGGCCGGCAGTTGTGGTGTGGGGCCGGCAGTTGTGGTGTGGGGCCTTTAACTGTGGTGTGGGGCCGGCAGTTGTGGTGTGGGGCCGGCAGTTGTGGTGTGGGGCCGGCAGATGTGGTGTGGGGCCGGCAGTTGTGGTGTGGGGCCGGCAGTTGTGGTGTGGGGCCGGCAGTTGTGGTGTGGTGGGGCCGGCAGCTGTGGTGTGGGGCCGGCAGCTGTGGTGTGGGGCCGGCAGCTGTGGTGTGGGTCCCGCAGCTGTGGTGTGGGTCCCGCAGCTGTGGTGTGGGTCCCGCAGCTGTGGTGTGGGGCCGGCAGTTGTGGTGTGGGGCCTTTAACTGTGGTGTGGGGCCGGCAGTTGTGGTGTGGGGCCGGCAGCTGTGGTGTGGGGCCGGCAGTTGTGGTGTGGGGCCGGCAGCTGTGGTGTGGGGCCGGCAGCTGTGGTGTGGGGCCGGCAGCTGTGGTGTGGGGCCGGCAGTTGTGGTGTGGGGCCGGCAGTTGTGGTGTGGGGCCGGCAGCTGTGGTGTGGGGCCGGCAGCTGTGGTGTGAGGCCTGATACTGTAGGAGCAGGTCATAATCTGGCAAAAATCGATTTCAAAAAATTTCATTCTGTTTCGAAAATATTTTAATTAACAAAAACAAGATATCATTATTCTAATATACAATACTCAGGACTTTTTAAACAAACGAATTTAGTGATATATATATATATATATATATATATATATATATATATATATATATATATATGTATATATACATATATATATATATATATATATATATATATATATATATATATATCTATATCTATATATATATCTATATCTATATATATATATATATATATATATATATATATATATATATATATATATATATATATATATATATATATATATATATATATATATATATAGATATATATATATATATATATATATATATTTATTTATTTATTTATTTATATTTCTGTTTGCCTTTATTTTACATCTGAAGATATGCGTTCTGACAACATAAACAACTATTGTTCGTTGTTACATAATTCTTTAATTATAGCTGCCTCAATAATAGCTGCCTCTGTTGACCCCCCCCCCCCTCCCACTTTTCCACTTCCGTTTTTCTTACTTCAGTGGCGATTGCAAGATGTTATTAAGTGAGGTTTAAAAGTATCTCTGTTTCTATACACCCTCTCTTCCTACGCCCCTGATTACACAACCTACAGTAGGCAACTTATGCTACACGATGGAGCAAACACCACTAGCCCGCTACATCGATCTGTTTAAGTTCGCGTGTTCTGGAATGTATTCGTTCCACTATTGTTGCAAGCTTAGAATCCACATTTTTATATCGCTGACCTACTTGTATGGACACACCTGCTTGCTAACCGTGGTCAATCGATTGTCTGGCACCAGGCTGGCATCAAAGGTAAGATAATCTTGCGAGCATCTATGTAGGATAATCCTGCGAGCATCTAGGTAGGATAATCCTGCGAGCATCTTGGCGTAATAATCCTGCGAGCATCTAGGTAGGATAATCCTGCGAGCATCTAGGTAGGGTAATCCTGCGAGCATCTAGGTAGGATAATCCTGCGAGCATCTAGGTAGGATAATCCTGCGAGCATCTAGGTAGGATAATCCTGCGAGCATCTAGGTAGGATAATCCTGCGAGCATCTAGGTAGGATAATCCTGCGAGCATCTAGGTAGGATAATCCTGCGAGCATCTAGGTAGGATAATCCTGCGAGCATCTAGGTAGGATAATCCTGCGAGCATCTAGGTAGGATAATCCTGCGAGCATCTAGGTGTAATAATCCTGCAGGTATACAAGGTATGATAATCTTGCTGATATGCATGTCAAACAATCCTGCGAGCATGATTATGATAATCTTGCTGTCATGTAAGTAAAATAATCCTGCTTCTACCGTCTACGTAAGGTATGATAATCCTCCTGTGAGCATACAGGCTACACATTAACTGTATCTATCAGGTTTAATATAATAGTACTCACATTTTAGAGTCGTGTTTTAACCAAATGTTTCACTACCAGCAGTTAAATTGTTTGTTTGTTTATCTGTAACACCACGTTTACACTTGCGACGTGTTTACATGTCTATGTAAAAAAAAGCAAGTATACATGTCCCTTGGGGGAAAAACTTTCATATTCCATTAACTTTTTGCCTGTTTGTTTTTCCTAGATATGTATGGTATACATGTCGCACGTGTAAAGGTGGTATGAGAAAAAGACCTAATGGCCTGTTGTAAATTTTTACCAATGGTGTGTTTCGTACAAAACAAAAACCTCATTCATTAATTTCTTGTTATGGTCAAATGCCATTGTTCAATGAATTCCCTGACCAAATGAGATAAAGTATAACACAATTCTCTGTATAACCACGACACTCCTAACTCGCAAATTCCCGATACAACTCTCAGATCGAGGCTATCAAGAAGAAAGCGGCCGAGAAGTACGGGGAAATCCCCCTAGAGGTGGTCTACATCTACCGCAGTAAACCCACGCTAGGTGTCGCCATAGAGGGCGGGGCCAACACCAGACAACCTCTGCCAAAGGTCATTAATGTGCAGGTTTGTGATACACGAATAATTGTTGTCTAAATAGTTACGGACTTGTTAATTGTCTCAAAATGCGTCTCACGGTCGATCTCCTTACCTCGCTCGTGGAATCTATACCTTGAGCTTTAGTATTCAAACTTTACCACTTGAAACATACCTTCTGACCCCAACCATTTTCACCTCTACCACATGACCTCTGACCTATATCATATGACCTCTGACCTCTACCTCTACATGACCTCTAACACGTGACCTCTGACCTCCATCATATGACCTCTGACCTCTACCGTATGACCTCTGACCTCTACCATATGCCCCCTGACCTCTACCGTGCTACTGTTTCTATCCCCAGCCCGGTGGCTCCGCCTACGAGTCCGGTGGCCTAAGGGTCGGTCACGTGATCCTAGAGGTCAACGGTCAGCCGGCCGTGGGCCTGTCCCACATGGACGCTGCCAGACTTATCGCCGAGTCCTTCAAGAACAAGAACAGCGACCGCATGGAGCTGCTGGTCACAGAGTGGTCAAGTCAGCTGCTCGACGCCATCAGGGTCGACGTGGGGCTCCTCAAGGTCTGACACTGACGTGGGGCTCCTCAAGGTCTGACGCGGGGCTCCTCAAGGTCTGACGCGGGGCTCCTCAAGGTCTGACACTGACGCGGGGCTCCTCAAGGTCTGACGCGGGGCTCCTCAAGGTCTGACGCGGGGCTCCTCAAGGTCTGACGCGGGGCTCCTCAAGGTCTGACGCGGGGCTCCTCAAGGTCTGACGCGGGGCTCCTCAAAGTCTGACGCGGGGCTCCTCAAGGTCTGACGCGGGGCTCCTCAAGGTCTGACGCGGGGCTCCTCAAGGTCTGACGCGGGGCTCCTCAAGGTCTGACGCGGGGCTCCTCAAGGTCTGACACTGACGCGGGGCTCCTCAAGGTCTGACGCGGGGCTCCTCAAGGTCTGACGCGGGGCTCCTCAAGGTCTGACGCGGGGCTCCTCAAGGTCTGACGCGGGGCTCCTCAAGGTCTGACGCGGGGCTCCTCAAGGTCTGACGCGGGGCTCCTCAAGGTCTGACACTGACGCGGGGCTCCTCAAGGTCTGACACTGACGCGGGGCTTCTCAGTCTGACTGACGTTGACTTCTTAAAGTCCATGTGATTCCATTAGCAGCGTTATGTCATCTGACGCTTTAAACTGCGAAACAATTGGCTGAGCCGAATCACGTGGTCGTGCTCCTGTGATACGATTGGCTGAGCTGGGTCATGTGATCGTGCTCCTGTGATATCAAAGATGTGTGATATTGTAAAAACCTAAAACCATTCACCTGTGATCAAGCTGGATAAGTCCAGCAAGTTGGACTAGTGAATGTTTGTATCAACATCCTCACTGGGATGGACATTCTTGCAGCAACACATATGATGTGGGCTCTAGACATTGTCGGGCTGTGTTTGCTGGGGACACAGTATAGGGCAAGCACGGTGTGGAAGTAAAGTGTACCCAAGTCCTGAAAGTCCATAGGTCAAGTGAAGTAGCCTCATTTACATGGAGGTCTATATGTCAGGCATAGTACCACCACAGTCCTGTAGGTCCATAGGTCAAGTAAAGTAACCTCATCTGCATAGGTTCCTAAGTCAAGTACCCTCACGGACTTAAAGGTCAACGGGTCATGGGAAATCTTACTTCCTGTCACGATTTGACCAGAATTTCTCATATTACAGTGGTAGTTTTTGGTGCCATAGCTGTGCTAAAACTCTCAAAGGCAGAGCCGGCGTTAGGAACACGCGGGGCCTAGTGCCAACCATCCGCGCGGGGCCTGCTTTTTTCCATTATATAAATAGCCTATACATATATATATATATATATATATATATATATATATATATATATATATATATATATATATATATATATATATATATATATATATATATATATTATACTATACATGCACACATAATAACAGATAAATGTTTTGGAGTTTATAAGCTAATGTCTAACTTCTTGCTATAAAAACAGATGTTTACCTCTCCCGCGTTTTACCCAATGTTCTTATTTTTTTTTCTTGCTAAGATATTAAATCACTTTTGACAGTTATGTAATCCATACCAAAAAATCTGCAGGAAATTCAATGACATGCCAAAAAATTAGGACAATAAAGTTGTTTAAATTGTTTGTTGATGACCAATAGTTAATATAAAAGTCAAGCGTTTTATGTGTATTTAAAAAAGAGACTGTACCGTTAGTTACTTAGTAAGCGCAGAATTTTAGACAAATTTTAATATCAACAAAACACGAGTAATTAATTAAAAGTTAAAACAAATAGAAAAATATAGCTTTTGGACTTAGCTCGAATCGTGAATTAACACTGGTTACGAATCGTGAAAACCCACTCTATGTTTATGGATATCCAAAAGAAATAATTCTCAAATGTAATCACTGACGCTCAGTGTAGGGTGGATCTTTGGGGGGGGGGGGGGGGGTGGCTGCTGGTGGGGTGAACTAAAGGATAGCTGCGTAATTAAATCTATGCATTGGGTTGCCAACCCTAAGAAAAAAATCTCCCAAGTTCGAGTACTACTTTACTACTACGTTACTGGATCTCTGACCGAAGATGGTTTGTGTTTGTAGAGCGCCCAGGTATTACATTACAGGCCATGATCGCGGTCTCACAAGAGAAGGTTCGTGACTATAATTAGGGAGAAAACGACGTGACAGTTAGCTACACCTTATTTATGAGTTTCCCGACGGCATCTTCAGGACAACTTTACAATAAAGCGAACTCAAAACAGTATGGACTTCAAAATTTGTTTAGAATCCATACAATATTTTAAACCAAAATCATTATGCTCCTAACTAGTGTAAAGGATATCCTACAATAAAATAAACCGGGAGTGATCTCCCATAAACTTTCTCGAATATTCTTATATAAAATAACAGGGGATAGGAACTCGGGCTATAGACATGATTTTTAATCCATTTTAAATACTTAAAGGAGGATTAGTACTTTATAAATTTTCATGCGTTTTTTTGAGAAATCGGAAGTAGCGTAAATTAGTACTTCCTGTCAACGAAAATTATTCAAAATTTGACAGACGTTAGAGAATTAGATCTTTTACTTACATGTGAAATTTCATTTATCTATCTGAAATAGTACTCAAGTTATAGGCTTTTGAAAAATTCAAAGTAGAAAAAGTACCACTTCTGGTTATCGGAAATCGCTCAAAAGTTGATACGGATCTAAGATTTTGATAAAATACTTATATATGAAATTTCATCAACCTAGCTGTAACGGTACTCAAGTTATCGTGTTTACACACACACACACACACACAGACACACAGACAGACAGACACACAGACATACGGACAAGATTGCAAAATTATGTTTTTCCGTATCAGTGAGATGTAAAGCGTCGAGATTTGTAAAAATCTCGATTATTTTTTTGCACGATTACAATACTTTCTCTATACTTCGTATATACGAGAAAGTAAAAATGTGCGTTTATTAATGACTACCATATCATTGCCCTTCAACGATGCCCATTCCTCCATAAAAGTTGTGCGACGCGGACAATTCGATTACTATATTATGTCAGCACCATTGGGAACTATTGTATATAACAATTTGAATGAATTCGGTAAATTAATAATTATGTTTGGGAACGCATGAATCTTTAAGATGACACTACATAACAACACTTTTACTTTCTTCCAAAAAAATAAATAATAAATCACCCTGTTGGATGCCACCCCCCCCCCCCACCCCCCGATGTGGACCCCGCCCGGCCCTATGCCCGCCAGTGAATGTTAATTTTGTTATACCAAGACAAGTAGGCCTACATATGCGACACCTACCTACAACAAGAAAGTCAGGACTAGCGTTCACTAACTGTTTACTACAGGCATCCAGTCTGTTCACTACAAAACTTCACATCGGCCCGCATACAATAGGGTATCTGATTACGTGTTTTCCAAATTTTCCTCCCTGCTCTGTTCGGGCGCTAATTCGAGTCCACCCATCCCCAGTCACCTAAGGTCAAATGCGAGGCGACCGTACCCTTCACACAGGGAGATGTGTGACACTATAATTTACGGCCTGTCCCGGGGCCTCAGTTACATCAATCAACAACGTCGGCATTCGACCATTTAGTTTTTCACAAGTGAATTCAGCAACAATTATTTAAGTTTACAAACTAATTCAGATAACAGTGGCGGTGCTGAAGCGCGGGGCCCCTCCAAGCGCGGGGCCTGGGGCGGCCGCCCCGTTCGCCACCCCCAAACGCCGGCTCTGCTCAAAGGTATAGACCGCTGCTACCCAATCAATAGGTTCTTCAATAGAAGAAACAACAAAAAATGGCGTTCAATTGACACAGGAATAAACATTGTATTAAAATTTAACCTTGACATTGGTTGAAATTTTTGAAAATTGCCGGCCATTCGTGTGTAGATGACAGTAGAACATTGATTTTATTTATTTTTCTTACAATAAAGGAAGTTAATTAGTGTAACATTTGTATGTACCTTCTAACTGTATGTAGTGTATAATTATCATATCTTATCATTGCATGGATTATATTGTGTGTGATATATTAAATTTCTTTTTGTAATGAAACAAATACATGTTGATAGCTGAGTTCAACAAAGTCTCCTTGCTGTTATCTAATGTATGAAGTCATTGAACTGTGTTTGTAATCATTAGTCCATTCAGTTCGAGGGGCCTGCGGATATAAGACAAGCTGCAACAAAATCTGCCCACGTTGTTGGCCTACTCTGTTTTATCGTCCAGTTTGATGATTACTTACTTAATAATAATCAGACCTGTCAGAGATATGTGTAGGCCTGTATCATACAATATATGTGTACATCGTACACTATATGTGTACACCATAAAAAGGTGTGAACATCTTACAATACATCTACATGGTCTGAATATTTGCTGGAGATCCTCCCACAGCATCATGTAATCACTACATGCTACCATCATCTGGTGTTCAATTTTGGACCCTGGGTCTGAATGCATATGGTGTCCCTGTGTCCACTCAGCTCTAATGAGTAGTTTTTTTTTTTTAAATTAAAACCCTTAATGCCCCAAAACGCCCGCAACCCATGATGGCCCGTAACGACCGCAAAAAAATTGTTTCATCAAAATTTTGCCTACCAATTCCAAATTTTTTACTAAACAGTAAGTTGGATAGTTTCGGCATCCTTTTCCTGTTAACCAATTTGAATGGCGATTTTGAAATACACATAAAATTAATCTCTTTCCATCCCCAAATTTTAGACTCATCTGTCCTATTTTTAGTTGATTTAAAATTAAAAATAAAATAAAAACATGCTTAAAAGAGTATCTATGCATGTATTTTATGAATTATATATTTGATATTCAACTGTTAAATTATATAATTGATATTCAACTGTTAAATTCGATGCACAGTTTAAACAAAAATAAAGTTGACTAATGAAAATTACTTATTTAGGATTTTCTCCGACATTTTTTATATTGTACTTCTACTGAATATATTCTATTCTATTTAATACTGTTGGAAAGCAAGATTTAATTCTAATATTAAGGAGTAGTTTTTATCTTAATTATTCATTTCATTTAGACAAAGACGGATATTTTGTGAAAGGGTTCATACAGAGTTATGCTCCTTACATTGGGACTTCAAGGGTGGTGTTTTGGTAGAATGAATGGGTCATTAAAGGTTAAGGTCACTTCTACCCATCATTATGGTCACTTAATACAGCTGACCATTTCAGATGCGCAGCGGCGGGGGGGGGGGGGGGCATATGTTCCCTGGCGCCGACCCTAGGGGCGTCAAAATAAGCTCATTTAGCTGGTTTTTAAAATTATAAATAAAAAAAATACATGTGGGGCGCCAAATCGAAAGTTTGTTCCCGGGAGGGGTCGCTACGACTCTGGCCCATTTACCGCTTGATGAAGTCACCCCATCCCCCAAAAAACTGACGCCTTTTGAAGCATGTTTTACAATTGTAAAGAAACAAATCAAATTGCCAGCAGAGTTTCTTCCAGGCATCTATTCGGGGGGGCTAAGCCCCCTCGAAAAATTTTTACCGCCCCCCCCGAACGAAATGAAATGTATATAATTTATATAGAAAATATATACTTTTAACAGTGTCCGCCCCCCACCGAAGAAAGTTTACCGCCCTCCCCGAAAATTTCAAGTGCCCCCCCCCCCCCCCCCCCCCCCCGGAGCAAAAAATCTGGAAGAAACACTGATTGCCAGTTCTCTCTTCACTCCCCCCCCCCCCCCCCAATTGCACATTGTCAGATAATTCTAACCATCATTCGTTTCTAAGCGATGTCATGTATGAACGACCTCAAAAATCGACAATCCTTAAGTAGATTATCTGCTATTATAGCAACATATCATTGGGGGGGGGGGGGAGAGGATAACATGTATTAAAGGATAAAACAAGAAAAGAACTTGACAATAAGTGCCAAAGGTTGGAGGGCAGGTATAACACTTACAGTAAGCCAGCAGTTTTCCAGTAACCTTAACACTTACAGTAACCTTAACACTTAGAGTAGCAAAAACAAACTTCTCAACACAGTAAAAAAAGAACAACAAGCTTTTAAAGATTTAACCTAGTGATATTTTATTGGTGGCATCACCAGGACTCATTAGCCTCAACCAATCAAATCTCAAGGACTCGTTAGCTTCAACCAACCAACAAATCACGTACTGCTGGTGTTGTCACTGATAAGATCGCTGGTACCACACACAACAGCACATCATCATGACAAATACTTTTGAGGATACATAAAAATGACAATGCTCCCACCCCCACCCCATTTGTGTTTTAATTTACTCAGTATTAGATATCATGAACCAATTATCACAATGTTCACATAAAATTGTGATCCAATAAAAAAAAAGAACCAAATGTACACATTACCAAAATCACATGACGACAAAATATTGGTAACAACAACTAGACATCATCCATTAGAACAACAACAACAACAGTTTCTACATAATTTATTGCACCTGTATGTCCTTGCTTTTATCCCAAGATGTTTCCTCTCCTATATACAGCTGACAAGTTGTATTTCTATAGGGAAGGGACATAACTCCTAACTCAAACATTGTTATTACTAAATGTATCTTTTCACATTACATAAATGTGAACATCAAATAGAGTCACAATCAGACAAATTGGTCCCATACCTCACTTATTTTTCTCTTCCATAATAAACTACAAAATTAACCTCGTATTCCCTCAGTCATTCTGTTTTTATCAATATAAATTGTTCTGTTTACATAGCTAGTTCTCCACTAAGAAAAGGTAACTCTTATGTCCTAACTTGAAATTTGCCAGCTCTGGTTATGTACTTCACTCCCTTGAATGGTTTGTATTTCTGTCGAGTAGAAAAATAAAAAAGCACAGCTTATGCTAATGTTGATTTTAGTATCAAGTTTATCCTAGAAAACTTATGTCCTAGATCCCATGTAAGTTCACATCAGAAAACACTCTACCCAGTAGTAGCTACATGCTCGAAGTACTGACCATAAATTACAAAATAAAGTGTTTTAACATGACAGGTAAAAGTAACTCAAGTCTTTTCTCATATCCCAACCTACTCCATCATTAGCATTCAGCCCATTATCATGAATGAACTCTCATCACTAAAAAATCAACTCAACCTTTTTGATAAGTGAAACATCCCAAAATAAAACAAAGGCATCAAATATGGAATAATCAACAAAAAAATCAACAAAATGTGCTCTGATTATTGTGTTGTGAAAAGTCATGAAACAGCCGTCAAATTACTGGCACCAGCAGATTTTATAAACTGCCAGAAAAGCTTTGTGTAAGATTCAATTTAGTGCTGAAGTCAAATCAATGCTCTCTGAATAGTTGCTGCAAAACCCACCACAAAAGTGCACAATATCAATTTTAAACAAGATGAGAAACAAATAAAAACATACCCAGCTACGAGCAAGTTCCTTGAGAAAATGAGGGGAGAGAGGCTATAAATAGATTTAGGTGGATAACAACAGCAGCCTAATTACTTATTACATGCTCAATTTAATAGGTCAAGCTATTTCTTGACCAGTACATGAATGAAAGTTAAATATGTTAATCTATATCTTGACCATGAATATTTTAATCTAAATTTGTGACAACCTTAATGGAGAAAGTGACATGTTATGTAAGTGCCATTTTGTTTAGGGAAGGGGTGAGAGGTGTGTATGTTAGGCTACAGGACATTACCCCGTATTTCCCCCAGGAACATTTACCCCCTGGGGAATTACCCCCCCCCCCCTATCAACCAAGAAAGAAAGCTGATTCTAACTCCAACTCCGTACCTATATATTACCTTAATCCTAACCTTAAGACAAAGACGAAATACAGAAGAATTCACCTCACCCTAAAATTAACCCAAAACCAAACCCAACTCTAGACATTGATTTAAGTCTAACCCTGATCCTAACACTAACCCTACCCCTCTAACCCTAGCTGCACCTTAAGCTACGGGGGGGGGGGGGGGGTTTAAGCCCTGTTCCCGTATGTTGAGGAGAGGCAATAGTGAATGTGTTGTGTTGGGCAGGGGGGGGGGGGGAGCCTAGTGTACACACTCAACACTGAAACTAAACGAGACTTAAAAAAACATTTGTTAAAGTAATAATCACCTGAAATAATAAAGTAACAAATTACTAGTATTAGTGCACACTTTATTCCTCATGTTGCTTAAAATCACTTCTACGCATAGTAATTGGAAAACTTATTTAAATCTTTTTAAAAATCATGTGATAAAAGTGATTTGACATACAACTTCTACTGAGTATAATGTATAATAAGCACTCGAATGTACTGTAGTGTACTTGAGTTGTATAATTTAACCTTGCTCCTACAGAATATAAAGTAGATGAGATTCGCACCAAGTATAAAGTAGAAATCTCTGGACCTACCTCACCATACATGTCAAGACGATTGACTTTAAGACCTGATACAGCAAATGTGTTGATTGTAAACATCACCTGTGTATGGAGGTACATGACAGTTGCAGCAGGGTTAAATAGATGGTACTTCAACATATAGTAGGATCAGTTAGAGAGTAGATGACAGTTACAGCAGTGCTAAATAGATGGTACTTCAACATATAGTAGGATCAGTTAGAGAGTAGATGACAGTTACAGCAGTGCTAAATAGATGTTACTTCAACATATAGTAGGATCAGTTAGAGAGTAGATGACAGTTACAGCAGTGCTAAATAGATGGTACTTCAACATATAGTAGGATCAGTTAGAGAGTAGATGACAGTTACAGCAGGGTTAAATAGATGTTACTTCAACATACAGTAGGATCAGTTAGAGAGTAGATGACAGTTACAGCAGGGTTAAATAGATGGTACTTCAACATACAGTAGGATCAGTTAGAGAGTAGATGACAGTTACAGCAGGGTTAAATAGATGTTACTTCAACATATAGTAGGATCAGTTAGAGAGTAGATGACAGTTACAGCAGTGCTAAATAGATGGTACTTCAACATATAGTAGGATCAGTTAGAGAGTAGATGACAGTTACAGCAGTGCTAAATAGATGGTACTTCAACATATAGTAGGATCAGTTAGAGAGTAGATGACAGTTACAGCAGTGCTAAATAGATGTTACTTCAACATATAGTAGGATCAGTTAGAGAGTAGATGACAGTTACAGCAGTGCTAAATAGATGGTACTTCAACATATAGTAGGATCAGTTAGAGAGTAGATGACAGTTACAGCAGGGTTAAATAGATGTTACTTCAACATACAGTAGGATCAGTTAGAGAGTAGATGACAGTTACAGCAGGGTTAAATAGATGTTACTTCAACATATAGTGGGATCAATTAGAGAGTAGATGACAGTTACAGCAGGGTTAAATAGATGGTACTTCAACATATAGTAGGATCAGTTAGAGAGTAGATGACAGTTACAGCAGGGTTAAATAGATGTTACTTCAACATATAGTAGGATCAGTTAGAGAGTAGATGACAGTTACAGCAGGGTTAAATAGATGGTACTTCAACATATAGTAGGATCAGTTAGAGAGTAGATGACAGTTACAGCAGGGTTAAATAGATGTTACTTCAACATATAGTAGGATCAATTAGAGAGTAGATGACAGTTACAGCAGTGCTAAATAGATGGTACTTCAACATATAGTAGGATCAGTTAGAGAGTAGATGACAGTTACAGCAGGGTTAAATAGATGTTACTTCAACATACAGTAGGATCAGTTAGAGAGTAGATGACAGTTACAGCAGTGCTAAATAGATGTTACTTCAACATATAGTAGGATCAGTTAGAGAGTAGATGACAGTTACAGCAGTGCTAAATAGATGGTACTTCAACATATAGTAGGATCAGTTAGAGAGTAGATGACAGTTACAGCAGGGTTAAATAGATGTTACTTCAACATACAGTAGGATCAGATAGAGAGTAGATGACAGTTACAGCAGGGTTAAATAGATGTTACTTCAACATATAGTGGGATCAATTAGAGAGTAGATGACAGTTACAGCAGGGTTAAATAGATGGTACTTCAACATATAGTAGGATCAGTTAGAGAGTAGATGACAGTTACAGCAGGGTTAAATAGATGTTACTTCAACATATAGTAGGATCAGTTAGAGAGTAGATGACAGTTACAGCAGGGTTAAATAGATGGTACTTCAACATATAGTAGGATCAGTTAGAGAGTAGATGACAGTTACAGCAGGGTTAAATAGATGTTACTTCAACATATAGTAGGATCAATTAGAGAGTAGATGACAGTTACAGCAGTGCTAAATAGATGGTACTTCAACATATAGTAGGATCAGTTAGAGAGTAGATGACAGTTACAGCAGGGTTAAATAGATGTTACTTCAACATACAGTAGGATCAGTTAGAGAGTAGATGACAGTTACAGCAGGGTTAAATAGATGTTACTTCAACATATAGTAGGATCAGTTAGAGAGTAGATGACAGTTACAGCAGGGTTAAATAGATGTTACTTCAACATACAGTAGGATCAGTTAGAGAGTAGATGACAGTTACAGCAGTGCTAAATAGATGTTACTTCAACATACAGTAGGATCAGTTAGAGAGTAGATGACAGTTACAGCAGTGCTAAATAGATGTTACTTCAACATATAGTAGGATCAGTTAGAGAGTAGATGACAGTTACAGCAGGGTTAAATAGATGGTACTTCAACATATAGTGGGATCAATTAGAGAGTAGATGACAGTTACAGCAGGGTTAAATAGATGTTACTTCAACATACAGTAGGATCAGTTAGAGAGTAGATGACAGTTACAGCAGGGTTAAATAGATGTTACTTCAACATATAGTAGGATCAGTTAGAGAGTAGATGACAGTTACAGCAGGGTTAAATAGATGTTACTTCAACATACAGTAGGATCAGTTAGAGAGTAGATGACAGTTACAGCAGGGTTAAATAGATGTTACTTCAACATACAGTAGGATCAGTTAGAGAGTAGATGACAGTTACAGCAGGGTTAAATAGATGTTACTTCAACATACAGTAGGATCAGTTAGAGAGTAGATGACAGTTACAGCAGGGTTAAATAGATGTTACTTCAACATACAGTAGGATCAGTTAGAGAGTAGATGACAGTTACAGCAGGGTTAAATAGATGTTACTTCAACATATAGTAGGATCAGTTAGAGAGTAGATGACAGTTACAGCAGGGTTAAATAGATGTTACTTCAACATACAGTAGGATCAGTTAGAGAGTAGATGACAGTTACAGCAGGGTTAAATAGATGTTACTTCAACATACAGTAGGATCAGTTAGAGAGTAGATGACAGTTACAGCAGGGTTAAATAGATGTTACTTCAACATACAGTAGGATCAGTTAGAGAGTAGATGACAGTTACAGCAGTGCTAAATAGATGTTACTTCAACATACAGTAGGATCAGTTAGAGAGTAGATGACAGTTACAGCAGGGTTAAATAGATGTTACTTCAACATATAGTAGGATCAATTAGAGAGTAGATGACAGTTACAGCAGGGTTAAATAGATGTTACTTCAACATACAGTAGGATCAGTTAGAGAGTAGATGACAGTTACAGCAGGGTTAAATAGATGTTACTTCAACATATAGTAGGATCAATTAGAGAGTAGATGACAGTTACAGCAGGGTTAAATAGATGTTACTTCAACATACAGTAGGATCAGTTAGAGAGTAGATGACAGTTACAGCAGGGTTAAATAGATGGTACTTCAACATATAGTAGGATCAGTTAGAGAGTAGATGACAGTTACAGCAGGGTTAAATAGATGTTACTTCAACATACAGTAGGATCAGTTAGAGAGTAGATGACAGTTACAGCAGGGTTAAATAGATGGTACTTCAACATACAGTAGGATCAGTTAGAGAGTAGATGACAGTTACAGCAGGGTTAAATAGATGTTACTTCAACATACAGTAGGATCAGTTAGAGAGTAGATGACAGTTACAGCAGGGTTAAATAGATGTTACTTCAACATACAGTAGGATCAGTTAGAGAGTAGATGACAGTTACAGCAGGGTTAAATAGATGTTACTTCAACATACAGTGGGATCAGTTAGAGAGTAGATGACAGTTACAGCAGTGCTAAATAGATGTTACTTCAACATATAGTGGGATCAGTTAGAGAGTAGATGACAGTTACAGCAGTGCTAAATAGATGTTACTTCAACATATAGTAGGATCAGTTAGAGAGTAGATGACAGTTACAGCAGGGTTAAATAGATGGTACTTCAACATATAGTGGGATCAATTAGAGAGTAGATGACAGTTACAGCAGGGTTAAATAGATGTTACTTCAACATACAGTAGGATCAGTTAGAGAGTAGATGACAGTTACAGCAGGGTTAAATAGATGTTACTTCAACATATAGTAGGATCAGTTAGAGAGTAGATGACAGTTACAGCAGGGTTAAATAGATGTTACTTCAACATACAGTAGGATCAGTTAGAGAGTAGATGACAGTTACAGCAGGGTTAAATAGATGTTACTTCAACATACAGTAGGATCAGTTAGAGAGTAGATGACAGTTACAGCAGGGTTAAATAGATGTTACTTCAACATACAGTAGGATCAGTTAGAGAGTAGATGACAGTTACAGCAGGGTTAAATAGATGTTACTTCAACATACAGTAGGATCAGTTAGAGAGTAGATGACAGTTACAGCAGGGTTAAATAGATGTTACTTCAACATATAGTAGGATCAGTTAGAGAGTAGATGACAGTTACAGCAGGGTTAAATAGATGTTACTTCAACATACAGTAGGATCAGTTAGAGAGTAGATGACAGTTACAGCAGGGTTAAATAGATGTTACTTCAACATACAGTAGGATCAGTTAGAGAGTAGATGACAGTTACAGCAGGGTTAAATAGATGTTACTTCAACATACAGTAGGATCAGTTAGAGAGTAGATGACAGTTACAGCAGTGCTAAATAGATGTTACTTCAACATACAGTAGCATCAGTTAGAGAGTAGATGACAGTTACAGCAGGGTTAAATAGATGTTACTTCAACATATAGTAGGATCAATTAGAGAGTAGATGACAGTTACAGCAGGGTTAAATAGATGTTACTTCAACATACAGTAGGATCAGTTAGAGAGTAGATGACAGTTACAGCAGGGTTAAATAGATGTTACTTCAACATATAGTAGGATCAATTAGAGAGTAGATGACAGTTACAGCAGGGTTAAATAGATGTTACTTCAACATACAGTAGGATCAGTTAGAGAGTAGATGACAGTTACAGCAGGGTTAAATAGATGGTACTTCAACATATAGTAGGATCAGTTAGAGAGTAGATGACAGTTACAGCAGGGTTAAATAGATGTTACTTCAACATACAGTAGGATCAGTTAGAGAGTAGATGACAGTTACAGCAGGGTTAAATAGATGGTACTTCAACATACAGTAGGATCAGTTAGAGAGTAGATGACAGTTACAGCAGGGTTAAATAGATGTTACTTCAACATACA